TTTTTTTTTTTTTTTTTTTTTTTTTTTTTTTTTTTTTGTTTTTTCTTAATTGTTCTTTTTAAGAGCAAATTTATATATAATTTTGTAAATTACGTCGTATAAAGCAGGCGAATAAAAGTAGAAAAAACAACTCAACTAAATGCAAATCAATCAATAAAATAATAAGAACAGAAAAAATAAAACAAAGTCAATAAAAATGGAAAAATCGGAAAAAGTTGAAAGTGAGAGAGAATTTTTTTTATTATCGAACAGAGTCCCTCTAAAAGAAAATTCAATCAAAGAAAAAGGAAGAGAGCAAAAAAATAAATTAATAAATAAATGATTTATTATTATTATTATTATTAAATGTAAACACTTTGTACCGTATACACATTACTAGACATATAGATAGATGCTAATAATGTATTTAAAACAAAAACAAAAAAAAAAAAACAAGAACATTTTGCATAATTTCGTTTCATGTGTCATTTAAAGCAAAATAGAAAGAAAGGAAATCAAACCATTTTAAGAAAAGGGACCTCGAAGAGAAAGAGAGAAGAAAGAATTTTTTAAAGTTTCGTAGCAGAAAAAAAATCAAGAAACAAACAAACAAACAAACATTGTATAATCGAATCACATGTAGGTATTATTAGCTTTTAGTTGCATATAACAATAAATAACAAAAATACAAAGAAGTGAAAAACAAAAGAAATAAGACAAAAATAACAACAAAACAACCTTAGACGACAAAAACAAAAAATCATGAGAAATATTTAAGAATAAGATTATTATTAATAGGCATTTCATACATACACGAAGAAGAAAGAGAAGCATACAGTATCATGAGCTTAACGAGCTTCAATGAACTCTTGTTAAAATTATTGATTGATTGAATTCGAATTTTTTCGTTAAATAATTTTCATTTTAAGCTGAACAAAAAAGCGTTTTCTAATCTACGTTATCTTATGTAATAGTTTCTCTATAGAGTATAGAACTCCGATCAGGAAAGCACATCCGTCCGCCATTTTGTCCTTTTCAACCGTCATCTCATACTTTCTTTAGTAAGATACTTCCGTTGTCTCTTTGAGACTGTGTTTAGCTTTTTTTTTTTTATTATTTTCTTTCTTAGCTAAATGCTAACGAACATCTTTCCAGTTACTTCTGCGTAGATCGTAATAGGTGTGGGATAGGGTTGGCGATGCTATGTGAAACCTTAAATCCCGAATATTGAAATGCTGGGTGAATCTCGCGATCAAAAGACTTGTTACCACATTTAACAAGCATATATATGCCTGTGGGCATGTATTTTGATTCATCTTCAATTTCGTTTTTATACAGTGAATATCATTCAGAAAATTATGCAGGAGCTGCAAATAAAGTTTTAATATTTGCCTTCTGCTCTGCTTTAAAAAACTTATTTTGCTGAAAAAAAAAAAAAATGCTTTGAGTACACACTCCTGCTGAACACTGAATAAAGACAGAATTGGATTTGAAATTTTTTATTTACTTTTTTTTTTTTTAATCATACATATAACACGGAATGATCAGTATTTTCTTTTTCTTATTTACTGTATTTGAGCGTTTGAAAGCTATATCTTAGATTTTCACATTCATCATCGAATCATTTGCGTTCATTTGAGGCCAATTGCTCTCAAAAAATGAATCGGAAACCTTGAAAATTCTTAATGAGTGGAGCACGAATCGAATCCAATTATGTCCAATCATGTCCGCTTGCATCTTGGAAGATTTTAGGAAGATTTTAACGAGTCCTTGTACTTACTTTTCCTTTATATGGCCATTCACGCAGGGGATGTCCCGTAAACGACCCTACAATTTATTATCCATATCTTGAAAGTGATTGATGTATTCCTGATTAATCCCATTTCGGTATATATCTTACTGGTACTTCACATGCACCTCCTTTTCGATTTATACCTTGGAGGTGATATTCCAAATTCACCCGGTTTCCCTTTCGTGATGCAAATTTTATCAATCGTTCAAGGCAGAAAAATGATTAGATTTATAAGAACGTTTTACAACTTCATTATAACGGCCCTCTTTACTTTTCTTTACATATGTTCTTCTTTCTTTCTTATTATATTTTTTATTATATAATATTCTCATCATTGTTAAACTTTATTTTTCTAACTTTTAGTTCCAATCGAAGAGCTCGAATTTTTCTTCTTTTTTTTTTTTTGGAATTAATTTTATCTGTATTATATCTTAGACACAATCGGTCCACAGTAACGGTGGACGACTCTACAAAGTATATACTTTAAAAATATCAATTATATTGTAAAATTTAATAATACTTTCACAAATACAAAGAATTTTCTTTTGCAAAGTAAAACTTGAAAAATGTTTGTGTATTTAATTTGCATTGTTGTTGTTTTATTGCTTCATTTACCTAATCATTATTTACTTCATTTTATACTATATAAAATTTGTTCTCATTTTTTTTCAATTTTTGAAAGCTTATTTTTCTTTCCTTCTTCCTTCGTTTTATATTCGCCTCTTGCCCGCGCCAAAAAAATCTAAACAGGAAAAAAAAAAGAAAACGCTAGAGTACATAAATCAAACTGACAGCAAAAAGATGTTTTCTTAGATTAGATAAAGCAAAGAACAACGTTACTGGATTCTCGTAAGACGATTGCAATCCTGTAGTTCGCAGCATTTTGCGGATCTTTAAAGAGTCAATGTTGCTTAAGCGGATTTGTTAGCAGCCTTTATAATATCAAGTGAAATGGGCAAAGTTATCTGGACATTGAAGGAGTTCAAACACATGAGCTTCTGACTTTTTTTTATACCCTACACCGCTCGTCGTATAAGTTTGTGCAGATGTATGCAACAACCAGAAGGACTTGAGCTACATCTACCGACCGATTAAGAGTCACCTTCTCAATCGATCTAAGCTTGTCTGTCCGTTTGTCTCGTTACCTTGTTTTCAACCGACATATTTTGTCAGTCACATATTTTGGTACAGTCACATATTTTGACCCCAGGTTGAACTCTATTGAAAATGGTTCTGATCGAACTATCCGTTGCAGCACCTCCAATATATGTCTTAATTTTGAAAAGCCGTTATATGAATAACTGTGTTAAGCGGAATAATGTATGGTATGGAATGGTTGGACGCGTCCCACTACAGCGTTCTTACTTGTTTTCTTCTAATGTCAGTTTAGCAGATTTTAACGTTTGAAAAATTTTAAGAAATCTGCTTTCTTTTGTTGTTCCGTTTTTTAATGCCAATCTTAGCCCAGGACTAGAATGTAAAGCGTAACCCATAATCCCGGTTTACTTAGCGATTAGCTAAAGCATAATAGTTTAAGAATTTTAGAAAATTTGATTTGTTTGGTTCTTCCGTTTTTTAAGAAAAATTCAAGTCCTTAATTAGACTGTAAAGTGTAGCTATTCTTCCCAACTTTACGCTTTCTCTGCCTAACTTTAAGGCTAATTTCACTAATCATTTAATTGCATCAGGAAAATCTATGAAATCTTTTTCTTCCTCTTCTATGATAGAAGTCTATCCATAATACTAAAATTGTTGTCCTTAAGATGTGTAAATGGATATTTGAGCGTGCGAAACGACCATTCGCTGAGATTAGTAAAGAGAAAGAAGAGTAACAAGCAAGAAAATTATTGATTGAATAATTGACCGTTATTCTAAAAAAGGCTGAAAAAGATCAAGGGAGTAAATTTCCATACTCCGTACTGTTGAGTGGACGTGGCTAATTCATTCATTTTTGCAGCATGAAAGTGAACATTTATATCATGTGACGGTGGTTACCCAGCAACTGACGGACAGACGGACTAACTAATAGGTTTAAAGCGGTGCAGACTTTATATATATGGTCTTTCAAGCTTCTTTCTGGGTGCTCTAAGCGTTTTAATAAATGAATGAAATTTTAATATTTTCTAATATCGATTCGAAATGACCGATTTTACCTATTTTTGTTTAGGTGCTGCACCTGTAGGACAAAATTACAAATTTTTACCGATAAATCTCCTGTGGTTTACAAGTACCGCGCAAAAAACTAAATATTTTTAATTTTTGAAAGCCAAGTTGATCTCAGGTTTTATTATACTGCGGTCGTACCCTTCGATCGATTTGACTCAATTTCAATATCAATCTGCGTGAAAGAACTTCCAATGCTTCAACCAAAAGTTGAGCCAGGTAACTTGCTTTTTACGGCCAAGAGCATGTTTACGAGAAACAGACAGACAGACGAACATGCTTAAATTGTTTTAGAATTTGAAGCTGATCCAGAATATAGGCAATTGGTGGGCTCTTTGAGGCTCCATTTTGGGCGTCGCTATAAAACTTTCAGGAAATTTAATATCGAAAAAATATTCATCCGTTATAGCGATTTTTGATCGTGCGAAAAGACTGATCTTTGGGAATAGTGAAAAAAGAAAAATAAGAATTTTAAAAACTTTTAATTTATTTTCTTATTTATTTTTGAAAAAATATATTTAATAATAATTATTTCATTTTGGATTATTTTATCATCATGTCTGGCTTAATGATGAACGGAAAGTCAAAAACAAAAATTGTACATTCACATTTACAAAAAATATATATATATATATATAAAGTATTTGGTTAATTATAGTTCATTCTTATATATGGTTTCTTCAAATTCCTCTCAGCAGGAAAGAACAAAAGGAAAAGCACATAACTACAAATGAAAATCAAGAACTGCAAAGTCTTATCAACCAAAAAGAGTAAAAAAAAAAGTAAAAAAATGACAAAAACAATAGCACATCTGCGGCAGAATAATAAGATATCGTCAACCAAAATACCGAACAAAACAAACAATTCAAAGTTGTCTGGAAGAAACTCACACACCGATGGCATATTAAATTTTGAAACTCTTCAATCAAAGGTAAAAAATGGTTTTTCTTTTTAAACGAGAAAAAGACAAAAATTAATGTTATCTTCTTCTTTTTTTTTTCAATTTTACAGAAGTTTTCTTAAACAAAGTCATCATTCATTCATAGAAACATCATATCATCGTCAGAGTGAAATGTCCCGAAAGAATTACATAAAAAAAATAAATAAATAAATAAATAAGTAAATAAATAAAATTTAATAATAAGTGAACAAATATTTAGTTAATTAAGGGGAGAATGAAACTCTAAAATTAAAATAACATTACAAACATACAAAAGATGAGGCAGCTATTTTTAAATATTTTTTTCAAACGAAATTAGAATCAATAAACTTAAAAATAAACTTACGTAGAACACAGACTTATATGATAATCGCATTAATTGTTGTTAAGAAACGCAAAAAAATAATTAAATAAATAAATAAATAAAAATAATAATTAATAAATAAAATATAATTCCTAATTATGTATAAATGTAAATAATAATTTCATAGCTCACTTAAGGTAAAATGTAAGTTAGTATATGATTATCTTATTTATCTTCACTGAATATTCATTCACCTTTAATGGATTCAATGTTTTCTTGGTTACTTGGTCTACTTTTGTCAATAAGATATCGAAATATATATATATATATATATATTTTTTCATTATTTAAAATGTAATCATCAAGAATATAATACCGCACTGTTTAAAAACCTACTATGTAACATGACATGACCGCCAAACGTGATTGCAGCAGATTATACGTCTTCAGTTACCGATCCAAGTCGAAAACCTGTTCAATCTCATAACCACTTGTAGTCTGTTCCTTTCATAAAAGTGCATTTTTGCATTTTTGAACCAAGTTCACATTCCGGGCCGAAACGTTGCCACCGAAATCGCATAACCAGTTGTGGCCCGCTCATCACTTAAAATTTGTTATATCTTCCTTTTTTGCAATGAATGAATTCCGTGTATATATGTACGATGAACATCAGCTTTAAATGTCCTTAGGCTGAATGCGAAATGACTTATTAAGCAATTGGGAGTCGACATTGCCCGACACTGTATAAGGTTTTTCTCTCTATCGTCGTTTTTTGCGTGGGTATAAAAACATTTACACCAGTCATCGACAAAATTTTAAGCAAAGTGAATTTACATAACGTATGCAAAGGATAAGCTTACTTACGTATCTCAGAGGTTGTGAATAGTTTCTCAATGTCAGTCTGAAATGCTTGTTTATCTTTAGATCGTTGCGATTAATTTGACCTTTAGCCAACGATTCGTCGAATATATGTCGAATTTGTATTTCTCACTACGTATTATGTAAAACTATTGGTAGGGTTAACTGAAAAAAAGCTTGGGGATGCAAAGAGTTAACAATGTACCACATATATTTAAGAGAAGGCCGAGTTTTAATTCGGATAAACACGCGTAGTTTATAGTGTAGAAGTTTACCGATATAATCAATGATTAATGCAGAGGGCAAGTGGCTGCATATCCAATTGTTAAGATATTCTTATATATTATACTCATCACATTATGTGCTATAGAATGTTCACTCTGGAGATACATAAAGTGCATGAAACTGGCACGGTTGTAAAAGCGGATACAAAACGATGACGCTTTAATGTACCAAAATCAATGCGCAAGTCTAAACATGAAAATTATAGTTGACTGCAGCCGAATCTTCTTTGTCCACCAACTTTATCATAGAATATTCACACTTGTATTGCTGTAATGAGTGCGGGTAATGAGCAAAACAACTCTTTTGTTTACGCTTTAATGCGGGCAGGCCCTTAGGTCGATTTGACGTACAAACAGGCGGACAAACGTGCCTAAGTCAGCCCAGTGCCTGATGCTGACTAAGATGTATATACATATTTAGTGGGCCCTTCGAAGCCTCCCCCTGGGTGTTTTCAGCGTTTTGATTAGATGATTATACCACAGCTTTCGTTGATAGGTGGAAAGTGGCTTTACTTTAGTTTAGTTGCAAAGACCACAATAACGAAAATGTTATATTTTTAATGATTAACAATAAGATTTAGGATCGGTAAACTATAGGAAAAATCATGGTCATGAGCGTTTTTTTTCGAATTTACTCAATCTTTAGTTTTTTTTTTTTTTTACATTTTCTTTCAGTTGATATGAAAAACAGAACGAAACTATATAAGTAAATTGAAACTTGTATAATTACAAACGAATACTCACAAAATAGCTATGATATTAGGATATAGTCAATAAACCAAACAAATTGTAAATAGAATTTTGTATGAAATCTTGAGAAACCAAAACAAGTCCCACAAAACAAAAGAAAAAAAAAAAAGTGAAATTAAAAACAGATATAAAATGTTAGAGCTACAAGAAAAAGATGAAAAAAGGAGTCTTTTGTAAAATGTTTACAAAACAAGAAAACAAAAAAAAAAAAAAAACAAAAAAAAAAACACAAAAACGAAGGAAACATAATTAAATTATTATTTTAAAATGATAGTTAAACAAAAAGGGTTGGTAAACAAAGGGAAGCTCCAAGCATATGTAAGAAAAGAGGGCTTAAGATTTGTAAAATATTTGATACCCCCGCATAACCTCTTCTAATAATAAATGTGATAGTAGCAAAGTCTAGTTTTGCGTATGAACAAAACAATAAACTAAAAATAAACCACAAAAGAAATAAAAAATATTAATTAAGGAAAATAAGAGACAAATTTGTTAAATAAATTAAAAAAAAAAAAAAACAAAAAAAAACCTATATAATAAAAATGTAAATGAATTGCAAGAATAAAAAAAAAAAAATGAAGAAAAGAAAAATGCTTTAACAAATGAAAAATAATACTTTATGCAATTAGACTTTTTATATAAACTAATTGTAAAATAAATTTAAGCATTTTTTTCTTTTCATTTGAAAAACCAAAAAAGAAAAAAAAGAGATGACATAACACATCTGATGCAACCTCAAGGCTTAAAAAGATTTTGAATTTATGTGCAAAAAGACACTTCTACAAACACACCCACACATATGCACATCTTACACATATACATGCATATGTACGTTCTACGTACGTGCATGCACACGTAGATACCTACGTAAATACATGAAGATGATGATCATCAACTCAATCTCGAAGTAATGCAAAAGCGGGCTTGGCATGGGCTTACTCCACTAGTTAGTAATGCGCTGCCGCTATGTCCATAAAAAAAAAAATGAATTCATACAAACACACGCGCATGCACACACAAACATACATAAAGTCGCGCACACTAACAAACTCATGGAAACGCATACGCAACGAAAATGCTATTTAAACGCGGACAACACATGTGAGCAACACATGAACGCAAACGCACAGAACGCATTGCAGTACACGCGGAAAAGTAAAAACAAAAGTCAGTTAACGTCTGGCCTCTAACAACAGGCAAAAGAAAAACTTCGTTGCATGTTTTCCTCATGCGACGCTCACAGTAATCTAACAATGGTAATAAACGCTAAGATAGAAAGCAATTTCAATGAGAGCAAAAAGAGTTGCGCGTTAAATTCCCTTTACACACGCATACACGAACACGCTCAGACAAGACAAGAAAAGCTAATGTTTAATTTTTCTTATAATCAGGGCTTTATATAGAAACAACTTTTACTCATCATCACTACGTAGCTTGATTGATGTTCTTTGATTTAACGACAAATAATATGACAAAAATTTATATATGACATACCCATCATATATGAACGTGAAAAAGAAAAATGAAAAAAAAACAAAAAAAAGTGGAAAGTAATTCTCTCTAGTAAATGTGATATACAACAAAAAGAAAAAATAAGCTGATAATAGATGATATTAATAAATTTAAAAAAAAAAAAAATAAATGAATAAATAATATTCAAAACATACTCAAGAATAAAACACAAATAATAAAATATTAACAAAAGAAGAGCAGAATATAATTATTATTAAATAAAAAAAATAAAAAAATTAAAAAAATATTAGATATTCTAACAAATTCTTTGTTTTTTATTATTATTATTATTATTATTGTAGACAAAATAATGAAAAATAAAACAAATCAATCTTAAAACAAAAAAATAAAAGGAAGAAAAATATGAAGCAAACCTCCCGCCAGCATATTAATATATATTTATATTAAAGAAAAAAAAAAAAAAACGAATTATAATAAATTATAAGAAAAGTAAAAGGAAAAAGCTCTTAACTATATATTATAATTTTACACGATACACAGTTTTCTTATTTATTATTTTGCAACAAAAAACAACAATAACAACAACATAAACAACACCATGAAGAACAACAGAACCAATCAATGAAAAAAAAAAAAACAAAAACTAATCTTAAAATGTATCCTAAGCAAGAAAAAAAAATTTATAATATTCCACCACGAAGAAACTACAGAAAATAACGGTTTCCGCTACCGGATAGAAAACGATTGATTCTCTCATCATCGAAGAGAATATCGAATTTGAGAATTCAATTTGAAGGCAACCAGAAGACAAACTTTTCCTTAAATGTGACAAAAAAATAAAAAGAAAAACAAAAATTAAAAAAATTATAAATGAAAAATTTATAACGAACGCTGGCTTAAAATGAAAACAATTAATTAACTTTTTGTGAAATTACAACAACAATATATATATATATATTTATATATATATGAAGCACATGCATACATAGTATAAATATAATTACATAACGTATAATAATGATAATATTTTTCATCAGGGATTAATAAGGCGGAGTCTTAAGGTAGTATTTAAACTTTTAAAAAAATGTGTTACTTATTAGTTATTAAAAAAAAAAAGAAGAAGAAAAACTTTTTTTAATGAATAATTTACACAATTTGATTTTCTTGCCACAAACATCGTACAAGAATTGAATGCACTTAACTGTAGCAAATTTTAACTCTTCTATGTGGAACTTCTAAGGACTTTACGATTTTTTTGTACCTTTTTTTGTGAAATCCTTTGCAAAGTCCCATAATATATATCAATCACTTTACTTTTATCATTGCCTTTTTGCGGCTTATCGAGTGGATTTAGCTATTTTCGGTCTTTCGAATGTCCCTCAATCTGTCCGTCCGTCTCTTTTTTCTGCTCCTTTGCAAAACTCAGAAACTGAGAAAGGAAGTTTCGTGAATTGATTTTGTTAATCAAATTGAAAAATGGCGACGCATTCA